GTCACACTCATCAGTTTTTTGCTCCTTGGCAGCAGCTTTCAGAGCAATGCAAACATTGCTCAACACCCTGGCCTGGGGCCTAGACTCAGCTTCCTGCTGCCCAAAAATCTTCCTCCCAGGAAGTGTTCAGCTTTAGATCCAATCAGCCATCTCAGATGTCTCTGTTTTTCATCCTTCTTTTTCTAATAGCATCAGGTCAGCACTTACCGTGATTCGTGCCGGCACAGGCAGTAAGCAAGGAGACAATCAGAAAGTATTTAGTCTAACTAGAAATGTCTAGTCCAACCTGAGAGCCAGGACATCCATGTAAGACTAAGGAGCATCGACATTTCTTCAGAAATACTAGGTGAGCTCTGACCTTGTGCCTGACCCTCCTCAATAGAGACATGGCTTGGCCCTCTTGGACCTTTCTGAATGCTTGGGGAAGATGAGCTTTAAAAACAAACAGGGGCAGCCCATGTGGCTCAGTTGTTTAGTGCCGCGTTCAGTTCAGGGCCTGATTCTGGAGACCCGGGATTGAGTCCCACGTCAGGCTCCCTGCCTGGAGCCTGTTCTCCCTCTGCCTGTGTCTCTGCCTCTCTCTCTCTCTCTGTGTCTCTAATGAATAAATAAATAAAATCTTTAAAAAATAATAAATAATAAAAATAAATAAATAATAAAAATTAAAAAAACAAACAATTATTTTACTACAATTTTAGGGAAGTCAAATACAGGAAAAGCAAAAGATGCTATGAGAGGAAAACAGAATAAGGGCTAGGTTTTGAGGTAGAGAGAGGCTCAAGCAACATGTCTCTAAAGAAATAACATCTCAGCAGAGCCCTGAAGGAAGGGTAGGACTTCAGCTAAAAAGAGAGTGGGACTTGCCTGGAGGGATGCAGGATTCCTGAAAGAGGCTCCAGAAGGTACAAAGGCCTGAAACAAGTCACTATTACAGAGTCTCAATATTGCATAGAGAATGGGAATAAGGTAAACTGAATCATCACTTCTGCCTCAACACACCTTCACTTTTATGTTTTTAAAAGCAATTCCAAAAAAATAAAAATTAACAAAAATAAAAAATAAGTAAAATAAAAAGGGATTCCATATAGCTTGTGTGTGTGTGTGTGTGTGTGTGTGTGTGTAGTAACTGCCCATATGTTTATGTTTGAAAAAAGGGTTTGGTTGTTTTTAAAAAATGTATTTGAGTGGTACCTGGGTGGTTCGATTGGTTAAGGGGCTGACTCTTCATTTTGGCTCAGGTCATGGTCTTGGCATCTTGCCATTAGCCCTTCATCAGCTCAGCAATTATTTTAGTCTGCCTCTCTCTCTCTCTCCCTCTACCCCTCCCCAAGCTGGTGTGTACGCGCTTGCTTGCGCACGCTCTTTCTCTCTCAAAGAAATAAATAAATATTTTTTAAAAATGTGTTTGAAAACTACCAGTCTAGGCTCTGGAAGACCTTGGAGACAGCCTTTGCATGGACTCAAGTTCCAAGCTACAAGGGCTTGCTGATCTTACCCAAAGTTCATCATTTTGCTACTGTTGTCTTGCCAGGCTCTGTCAAAGGGCCATCTGCCCACTCTGATTCTCCCAGTGGTGTTGTGGAAAGACCTCAAAAGAGATCATTCACAGCAGCTCAGTACAGATCGGCAGCTTAGTCCACAGGCAGTTTCTGTCTATGAAATCAGAGGCTGAAAATAGATCATTACATGCCACAAAAGTCTTAAATTGCTTCTAACCAGGCATCATGATGTAGGGATTAAGAAAGTGGATTCCAGAGCCAGACTCTCTGGCTTCAACTTCTGGCTCTATAGCTAACTAGTTATGACCCTGGACAGGTTTCTCAATGCCCTCATGTCTTAGTTTCCTCATCTTTAAAATGGAGGTGAGGATAATAATAGTGTCTACCTCATAGACTTGTAGAGGATTAAATGAGATCACATTTGTACAGCATTTGAGACAGGGCTGGGCATCCAATAACCACTATATAAATAAATTTGTTAAATAAAACCAAAGTGGCAATGGTATGTTTCTTTCTGTATGAATTTATGGGTGGCAAAGCCCAAAACCAGACACTTCAAGTCTTCTTCTGTTTGATGTTTTACCATTGCTGTCAAAGTGAAGGCTTTGACAAAGTAGCCTCCTACAACTCCGAGGAATTGGGATCATGTAGCCCTCTGAAACAGTAATTACCAGATTCAGGATTCCTTCATTCAGTAATCCATTTCTGGGGATTCACATGAGATGGCCATCTTTGGACTATGCCATCCAGGACATTAAGATAAACTGCCCTCAGGGCACCTGGGTGGCTCAGTCAGTTGGATGTCTGCCTTTTGGCTTAGATCATGATCCTGGGGTCCTGGGATCAGGCCTATGTTGGGCTCCGTGCTCAGTGGGGAGTCTGCTTCTCCCTCTCTCTCAGCCCCTCCCCCAACTTGTGCATTCGCTCCCTCTCTCTCTGTCTCTCTCAAATAAATAAAATCTTTAAAAAATAAAAATAAAAAATAAAAAATAAAAATAGGGCAGCTGGGGATCCCTGGGTGGCTCAGCGGTTTAGCGCCTGCCTTTGGCCCAGGGCGCGGTCCTGGAGTCCCAGGATCGAGTCCCGCGTCAGGCTCCCGGTGTGGAGCCTGCTTCTCCCTCCTCCTGTGTCTCTGCCTCTCTCTCTCTGCCTGTCATCAATCAATCAATCAATCAATCAATCAATCTTAAAAAAAAAAATAGGGCAGCCCGGGTGACTCAGCGGTTTAGCGCTGCCTTCAGCTAGGGCGTGATCCTAGAGACCCGGGATGAAGTCCCATGTCGGGCTTCCTGCGTGGAGCCTGACAGAAATAAAATAAAACAAAATTTAAAAAATAAAAATAAATAGAATAAACTGACATCTACTATCATTATTATTTTGTGAAAGGCAATTTTAACACCAAAAAAGTAGGAAAAACATAATCACAGAATAAAAGGCAGAGCCTTAAATTGAGCTTAGTAAAAAATTGATACCCTTTTCTGTTTTTTTTTCCATTTCATCTTGAGCTAGCAGCCAAGAATGGAGTTCTACCTAAGATCCAGCATTTGGCTAACACTGCTCTACAAAGCCCTTCTGAGTGTTCCTGGACACACCGGACATTGTAACTAAACACCTCTTCACCTCTCTGAATGTCCACTCCTCAAAGCTAGTCTTGAACATCCCAAACTTTACAAAACTGAAGGCATTGCTAATAATCCCAGAGAGCACTGCTATGCTCAGAAGTAGACAGCCCACAATTTGGAGGAATTATTTTAGTTGTTCCCTGTGGCATTTAATGGGGCCACTAAGAACCTTGGCTCTAATTCCAAGGAGTCAAGGACTCTGAGCTACCTGGGTGTTTTAGGAAGAAACCTCCCAGTCCTCTTGACTCTCATACCACTATCATACAACACTTCTGAAACCAGATGTGTGAGGGTTTTCCCACATCAAACAATTCTCTGTGACAACAGAGCATCAATAATTTAACTGAATTCTGAAACTGTCTGCCTAGAGATAGTGCCAGATCCCACAGGGTAAGGGCTCAGTCCCATGGACTGCCACCAGTAACAGGTCCCCAGGTTACCCACAACTTCTGTCTGACTTGGCTACAAATCAGGGATTCCCATGACCTCCTCCTTGCTTGGACTTGATTATTTGCTTCAGCCACTCACAGAACTCAGAGAAACACCTACTTGCATTTACCAGTTTATTAAAAGATATGATAAAAGTGAAGAGCCCGAGGAAGAGATACATAGGGTGAGGTCTGGGAGGGTCCTAAGTACAAGAGCTTTTATCCCCGTGGAGTCAGAGTGCCATGCTCCCAGTACGTGGATGTGTTCACCAAGCTGGAAGCTCTCTGAACCCCACGTTTTTCTGGAGGCTTCATCACACAGGCATGATTGATCATTAACTCCATTTTCAGTCCCTTGCCCTTCTTAAAAGAATGAAGAAAGGGGCTGAAAATTCCCAGCTTCTAATCATGGCTTACTCTTTCCAGCAACCAGCTCTCATCCAGGGAGTTACAAGGGTTTCAGGAGCTCTGTTCCAGGAACCAGGTAAAGAGAACAACGTCTGTTTTCTATTACCTCACACTGAGTGTGCAGTATTTCCTTCCAAGCATAATGAGAGCGTCCAGGAAGAAGAGTCAGGGGACAGGGACTGTCATGCTGACTCTGTTGCTAATCTACTGTGTAATTTTGGTCAGGCCCTCAACCATTCAGAGACATACTTTACTCTTTTACAAAATGGAGGCAGCAATACCTGCTCTGCATTCCTCCAGGTTGTTTTGGAAATCAAATAAATAATGGTTATGAATATGGTATTGAAGTACTGCAAAGGAGTAGGTATTTGTTAACTCTGAGACCTCACCCCCTTCTGGTCAGGGCCCCAAGATCCCCTCCTAAGTTTATACCAAGGATACTTCCCTCCACCCTTTCCTTTGGCCTGACTAGGACTCCATAGCACAACACTCCAGGGTAGACTGCTAGGCCTTGGGTTAGAGCAGTGTGATAGGGAAGAGATGATTTGTTCTCTCTCAGAGCCCTGGTCTCCCAGGTCTCTCCAGAAGGGAGTGAGCTCCTAAGAATTAAACATACAGGAGTCCACAAATACTCTTGGAGTTCCAGCTTAGTAAGTCTGCCCAAGAATGCTTCCTGCTAAACTAACAAAGGGTGATAGCAAGAGAATGCTGGGAGACATTCCATTCCCCTGCCTCTAAGGGATCCTGGCAGCTCAACTTTCTAGTGTGTTATATCTGGAAGAAACTTTAGATCAGTGGTTCTCTTCTCTGGCTGAACTTTAGAATCACCAGGGGAGCTTTTAAAAAATACCCATGCCAGGCGGTACCTCACACCAATTAAATCAGAATCTTTTGGAGAGGGACCTAGACATCAGTATTTTTAAAACTCCCTAGATGACTGAAATGTGCAGCCTAGTTTGAGAACCACTGTGGTAGATAATCCAGGTCAAACAGTTCATTTTACAGAAAGAAAAATAGGGGCCAGCGGCCCGCGGGCCGGGGTCATGCGCGGCGGCGTCTTGGGGCGCGCCGCGCTACCGGGGCAGCTGAGTGGCCCGCGGGCCCCGGGGCCAAGCCTGCTCACGCGCCCCAACTCGGGAGGGTCCTCCTGGACTCGAGAGCGGACCCTGGTTGCAGTGAAGCCGGATGGGGTACAGTGGCGGCTTGTGGGGAATGTGATCCCCTGCTTTGAGAGGAGGGGCTTCAAGCTGGTGGGGATGAAGATGCTGCAGGCGCCAGAGAGAGTCCTTGTTGAGCACTACCATGACCTGCAGAGGAAGCCCTTCTACCCAGCGCTCATCAGCTACATGACCTCCGGCCCCGTGGTGGCCATGGTCTGGGAAGACCCCAACGTGGTCTGCTCCTCAAGGACCATGATAGGACACACCGACTCAGCTAAGGCCGCCCCGGGCACCATCAGGGGGGACTTCAGCGTCCACATCAGCAGGAACATCATTCACGCCAGTGACTCCGTGGAGGAGGCCCGGAGGGAGATCCAGCTATGGTTTCAGAGCAGTGAGCTGGTGGACAGGGCAGACAAAAACCATGAGAGCAGCATCTACGCAGCCTGAGCACTAGGGCTGCCCTCAGTCACCCTGTGGCCGCCCAGGATCAACTACCTCTCTCCTCCAGACCCCGAGCCCACCCGGCGGTCTGCCCTTCTGTCCCAGACCCCGTCTACCTTCTGCTCCACGCTACCCCAAGGAGCTGAGCAACCAACTCTATGTGCCTTTTACTATCCTGAGCCAGTAAGAAATTGGACCAAATCCTTTCTATAGCAAAGTGCCAGACAACCTTTGGGGTATCTCCAAAAGTACATAGTGTAAGCGCCCTTCCCCCAAGGGGGGTGGGACATCACTGTGTTGTGGTGGGTCATTTAGTATAGTTCCTGCCATCTCTCAGATTAGGGATGAGGACTTCATGCAAAGTCGTAAGAGTTTGAGAGTAGAAATAAAGCTTACCTGCTCACGCAAAAAAAAAAAAAAAAAAAAAAAAAGAAAAAGAAAAGAAAAAAGAAAAAGAAAAAAAAAGAAAAGAAAGAAAAAAAAAAGAAAAATAGGCCCTGGGAGTTTAAGAATTTTGTCCAAAGTCATACAACAGATTAGTGTTTGAAATATCCATTCAATATGTTGATGATAATAACAGCTAATTTTTGTTGAACATTTACTGGCAAGCAACCTCTGCTTTACAAACATAATCTTAGTTTATCATCACAATAATCTTATGAGAAAACCAAGGCCCAAAGGGTTTAGTTTGCTCCAGGTCAAAGCAGCTAAAGTGGCAGAGATCCCTGTTCAGCTGTTCAACCAAATTTGAGCAGCAGATGACAATACAGGGGTAGGGCCCCTCCCTTTAAGGAATGTATAGTCTATCTGGAGGGCTAGTTAACAGGTGAACCAACAATCGAAACAGTTTGATAAACATTACAGTAGAAGTAAACAATGGAAGGCCAAGGAAGTCACCTAACTGGGAAAAGTCAAAGAAGTCTTCTACAAGAAGTTACTTAGAGAAGTCCTAAAAGGTGAATGAAAAGGAGTTTAATGAAAAGAAAGAAAGAACTGGAACTAGCCAAGTGTAAAGACATGACACGTTAGAGAGCATGGTGCTCAGAGAATGCTCAGAGCTCTGTAGTAATTCAGAACAACTTGATAAGTACATTTGGGTAGCGATATTAGTAAGTGGAAAGATTAAAGAATGCAGAGACCAGATCATTAAGAAGTCTGAAAAAGGGAACCATCAAATGATTATAAACCAGATAATGAAAGGATATAAATTTGTTTAAAAGATTACTAGAGGATGACATCAAAAGCCCAGGCAAGAAAAAAAAAAAAAAAGGCAGCCTATATTAAAACTAAAAATTTTTGTGGGAAGATGGCAAGTAGGATGTCAATAATTCACCTCATCCCATGGATACAACTAGATAAAACTCACAAAAGGGCAAATAATCAGAAAACTACTCAAAGACTGGTAGAACAAACTCCACAACTAATGTAGAGACAAGGGGTGGGAAGCTGGCTCAGTCAGTAGAGCATGGGACTCTTGATCTTGGGGTTGTGAATTTGAGCCTCACATTGAGTGTAGAGATTAAAATAAATAAATAAACTTTAAAAAAAAGTATAGAGACAAGGCCACACTGAAGATGTTAGGAAGGGCAGAGACACAGTGGGGAGCTAAACCTAGCAGGTCTGACCGCCAGGGGGAGGGAGCCACTGGGCACTGAGAACATGAAGAAACAGATTACAGCACTCAGAAGCCTGCATGGGGAAGATGCATCCCTCTAGCATTTGGCTTTGAGAATCAGAGGGGCTGCATTTTGTGTGTTCTCACAACCAGTGGGACTTAAAGCTTAGAACATTATTACTATTACTATTATTACTATTACTATTATTATCATTATTATTATTATTATTTTGGGAGTGCCTGGGTGGCTTAGTTAGTTTTAAGTGTTCAACTCTTGATCTCAGCTCTTTTTTTTTTAATATATTTTTTAAAGATTTTATTTATTTATTTCTGAGAATACACAGAGAGGAGAGAGAGAAGCAGAGACACAGGCAGAGGGAGAAGCAGGCGCCATGCAAGGAGCCTGACGTGGGACTCAATCCCGGGTCTCCAGGATCAGGCCCTGGGCCGAAGGCGGCGCTAAACCGCTTGAGCCACCCTGGCTGCCCTCAGCTCAAGTCTTGATCTCAATTCAGTCTTGAGTTTAAGCCTTGTGTTGGGCTCCATGCTGGGCATGGAACCTACTTAAAAAAAAAAAAAGTAAAATTATTATTTTTCTTTATAGTCATTCAATAACACCCTATTGTATTCTGTCAGAAACATGAAAATGGAGAAGGAATAAAAGGTTACTTGATCTCTCAAGAAGCAATATAGTTTGATTTTTTGCCATACAAAAAGTTAACACTTTGCAACATTACAGGAAACTTTTATTTCCCTTATTACACACTTCTGTATTTTACAAACTTTCTATAATGAATATGTCTCACTTTTAACATTTGAAGTTTTAGGTAAAAATAAAATAAAATTTAAAAAATTATAATTATACAAAAGGAAGTTCTAGGGGAAAAAAAAGTGAATGTGATTTTTAAAAATCAGTTCTTGAGAGGTACCTGGGTGGCTCACTCGGTTAAGCATCTGCCTCCAGCTTGGGTCATGCATGGTCCCAGGGTCCTCCTTAGCAGGGAGCCTGCTTCTCCCTCTCCCTCTGCTGTTATCCCCTGCGCGTGCTCCTTCTCTCTCTCAAATAAATAAAATATTTTTAAAAAAACTTTCACTCTTTGCCCCCTCCCACACTACCCCAGCTCAAGCTTGCCTTCTCTCTCTCAAATAAATAAATAAATAAATATTTTTAGAAAAATCACTTCCTGAAATAGATTTACATCTCCTTATCCTCTGTGAAGGGAGATATCATCTTCCCCACTACTGTACAAAGTGGGGAATCTTGGCATAGATTGAAGAGCAAGTGCAGGCAGCCTCAGTGCCTGAGCTCCAGATCCTATGCTCCAGGGCTGCACTACATAGGTTTTTATGTGCAAACACATATCTTCTGGAGCCCACAACCTTAGGACTGGAGATGTTCAAGCCTGGAACTTTTTATCCTTAAAAAGATAGCACAATAGTCTATGGAGATAAAGTTTAGAAACAAGTTTGAAAAGTGCCTGGGGCATATGGGAGGGAGAGTTAGTTACTCATCTCAGAGTTCCCCGAGCAACTTCTCCAGAAACAGAGGAGGTAGCAGGTGCCATTTCCCTTCCCTTCCCTCTCCCTGTCTTCAGCATAATCACAAAGCCACCTACCAGAACCAGTGCAGCAGGTGGCACTGACTTCCTAACTTGCTTACACCATACCCTGCCCCCTCCAGCTGGGCCTACCTCAGTCCTGGTACTGTGGGTGCCTTCCCAGAAGAATGATGCAAACATTGCCAACACTGCACTTCCCAACCTCCTGTGGAGGAGACATACACCTTGTCAAAACTGCACACCCTCCTGGTGTGTGCTTTGCAGAGCAGCCCCAGGTGGCCTGGTCTCCACAGCAGCTACTAAATTTCCTCTGTGGGAGAAAACCTCATTAAAAGTGTGCACCCCACCCAATACTTTGAAGAGCAAGAGAATAGCTGACTTTCCTAATACAGAAACAAACACAGAGTTAGGCAAAATGAGGAGACAGAGAAATATGTCCCAAATGAAAGCACAGAACAAAATTACAGCAAGATACCTAAGCAAAACAGGGATAAGTAATATGCCTGATAGAAAATGTAAAGTAATGATGATAAATATATCCATTGGACTTGAGAAAAGAGAGGAAGACATCAGTGAGATCCTTAACAAAGAGATAAAAAGACTAATCAGAGATGAAGAACATAATAATTGAAATTAAAAATACACTTGATTAAATAAATAGCAAGCTAGAGAAAGCAACGAGATGAATTAATGACCTGGAAGACACAGTTATGGAAAGTAATCAAGCTGAACAAAAGAGAGAGAAAAATTATGCAAAATGAAAATAGACTTAAAGAACTCAGTGACTTCATCAAATGTAATAATGTAGAGATCCCAGAAGAAGAAGAGACAAAAGGGAACAGATAATTTATTTGAAGAAATAATAGCTGAAAACTTCCTTAATCTGGGTAAGGCAACAGATATCCAAATCTAGGAAGCACAGAGATCTCCCAACAAAATCAACCCAAGGAGGTCCACACCAAGACACAATGTAATTAAAACGGTAAAAAGTAGTCATAAAGAAAAAATTTTAAAAGAAGCAAGAGAGGGGCACCTACTGGCTCAGTTGGTGTTGCATGAGACTCTTGATCTCAGGGTCATGAGTTCCAGCCCCATGATAGGTATAGAGATTACTTAAAAAAAAAAGAAAAAAAGAGGGGTTCCTGGCTGGCTGAATGGAGTGGAACATGAGACTCTTGATCTCAGGGTCATGAGTTTGAGCTCTCTGTTGGGTATAAAGATTATTTTTTTTTAATTTACTTATTTTAGAGAAAGAGAAAGTGAGCAGGGGAGGAGCAAAAGGAGAGAGAGAGAGAGAGAGAGAGAGAATCCCTGCTGAGCATAGACCCTGATGCAGGGCTCAATCCCAGGACCTTGAGATCATGGCCTGAGCCAAAATCAAGAGTCAGACACTCAACTGACTGAGCCATCCAGGTGCCCCAGGTGTAGATACTACTTTTTGAAAAGAGTTTAAAAGCAGCAAGAGAAAATAAGACAGTTATATACAACAGGAAACCCCATAAGGCCATCAGCAGATTTTTCTGCAGAAACTATGCAGTCCAGAAGAGAGTGGCATGATATATTCAAACTGCTGAGAGGGAAAATTCTGCAACCAAGAATACTCTACCCAGCAAAGCTATCATTTCGAATAGAAGGAAAGATAAAAAGTTTCTCAGACAAACAAAAACTAAAAGAGTTCATGACCACTGAACCAGCCCTGGATGAAATATTAAAGGGGACTCTTTGAGAAGAAAAAAAAGACCACAAGTGAAAGTATGGGCAAAGCAGGAAACACACACATACATATACAAAGTAAAAACACAAAAGCATATCTATGTATGTATCTATCTATA